TACAATATTGTGATGGTTTCTGCCATACATCAACATGAGTCAGCATCAGGTATTCATATGTCCCCTACCTCTTGAACCTCCCTCCTACTTCCCTCCCCATCCCACCCATCTAGGTTGTCAAAGAGTACCAGCTTTCGGTGCCCAGCATCAAACAGCAAATCCTCACTGACTATTTTACATAAGACAATATATATATATGTTTCAATACTATTCTCTCAAATCACCCCACCCTTCCCTTGCAGCAAATGCCATGTCTATCAAGAGTGTTAGAGAATAACACTATCTTCTAACTGTTCCTTCTGCTTCCAAGTTTATTCCTTAAAACCTCTTACATTAGAGGTTGGCAAACTTTTCCTGTAATAGGCAACACAGGAAATGTTGTAGACTCTGTGAGCCATAATGTTGGCTGCAAATATAGCTCTGCTACCACAGTGCCTAGACAATCATTTAAATGAGTGGGTACAGATTTGTTCTAGTAAAATTTTGTTTACAAAAACAGACAGTGAGAACCTACTATATAGCACAGGGGACAAAAAGAAGGTGGAATCTGTTTGGAAAACAAATATTAGGTTAATCTTAAAAATTTCACTGCAGTCTACATTAGGTACACACATGTACTATTTGGTTTTACTTTTACGAGGTACCTAGAACTGTCAAATTCATAGAGTCAGAAAGTACATTGGTAGATGCCAGGGGCTGGGTGCAGGAGTCAGGCAGGCGAATGGGGAATTAGTGTCTAACGAGGACAGGGCTCCAGTTTTGCCTCTGTGCTCAGGCTTGTCTGACTCTTTGTGATCCCTGGGACTGTAGCCTTCCAGGCTCCTGTGTCCATAGGGCTTCCCAGGCAAGAAGGGGAAGCCCCCAAGAGGGGGGGCTGTCATTTCCTCCTCCAGCAGATCTTCCCTACTCAGGGATCAAACCCTCGTTTCTCATGTCTCTTGCACTGCTATGTGCGCATTCTTTACCACTGTGCCACCTGGGAAGCCCCGCGTTCCAGTTTAGGAGGGCAATGAAGTCAAGGGATGCATGATGGTGAGTGCTGCACAATGATGTGAATAGATTTATTGCCTCTGAACTGTACAATTAAATATGGTTAAATAGCATGTTTTATATTATGTGACTTTTACTACAACAAAATAAAAGCAAACAAACAAATAAACAAAAACCCAGCAGGCTGGATTTGTGTCCACTGTCATGGTTTGCTGGTCCCTCTTGTACCATATTACTAGCTATTTTGTGGTTGTCTTTGTGTATTTGTTTATTTCTAAAATCAGAGGCAGTGCAAATATCACTTATTCTTAAGCCCACAATGTAAAGCGAATTCTTTACTATGCTAACATCCATATCACTTTCTATATGTTCATATTACAATGTGCAGTAGATGCTATTATGATGTTTCATGTGTTTATTTTTCCACAATGAGTTCAAAAACACACACATACACACACAATATGATTTCCAATATTCAGCCTATGGTTTGCCATACTGTTTCAACAGAAATCATGCCTAGACCCAAGGTACAAGACAGGCTGAAAGCCTACTCTGCTTTGCCCTTTTTCTCTGGTACTTTCTGGCATTAAATTTTCTCCTTCAACCAGACTTGTTTCTATAAAAGAACTAACAAATATAGTTGATCTTGGAACAGTTTGGGGATTCCAGACACCAACTTCCCTCCTGCAGTCAAAATCCATACGTAACATATTGCAGTTGGCCCTCGTAGAGACGGTTCCTATAAGGGGACTTGCACAGTTCACACCCGTGTTGCTCAAGGGTCAGCTACACTAGTATTGCCCATTCCTACCCTTCTCTCCAAGTCTTAGATGAGGGCTGAAATATTTTGGCTTGCTCCTAAGTCCTTCGGCCTTTGCTGCAATGATTTCTTTAGGTTTCATGATTCCTAAAAGCCCAGCGTCATTCAATACGTTCACATGTACTCACTTAGCTTTAACCATGTTCACACACAGGTATATATTTTAGGTTGCACTTATAATAACTTTTTTCTCCCCTTATTATTTTCTTTGGCTTTTTGATCTCTGTTTTGATTGACTTTAACTATTTTCTATGTCAACTATTTTCCCAAGCATTTCTCTAGATAAAGTGGGAGGATGATATGGACTACCCTGGTTGTTCAATGGTTAAAACTTCACACTTCCAGTGCAGGAGATGCGGGTTTGATCCCTGGTCAGGGAACTAAGATCGCCCATGCTGTGTGGTGCGGCCAAAAACATTCTTAAAAAGGTAGAAGGAAGATATACTTTCTGGATTCCTTTCTACATATTTCTTTCATGCTAACAGATATATCATGTTTTTGATTGAGTGAAGGATTTGGTGTTCAGTCTTTTCTCTAAAAGTTGACAATGGTATTAAATTATTAACCACATTCCAGTATTTCAAGTGACAAATATGATGTGAAAATATCTTTTCCTAGTAAGTAACTTTTAAAAATCTGAAGTCTATATAATTTTCTCTTCATTCATAGGCTTTAGGAAAACTTTGCCAGCATCCACCTAAGTTTGATTCTTTCCCAATTAACCCTTCCTGAAATTCAGAAAGTCTATTCAACTTGTAAATTCTGTATATTCTTCACCTAAAGGTTAGGAAAAAAAAAAAAAAAAAACTTACTGTTCCTCTCCTTCATCTGCTGTTTCTTGCATTCTGGGAACATATGTTATTCCCACACTATGTCTAGTTAATATATCCTCTAAGTCTCATCTCTTTCTCACAATTTCCATATATTTGTAATTTTGTTCTCTGATTTTTAGCTCCTTCTTCCAGTCTTGGAAGTTCTTAAGTTCCAGGAAAACAATTTGGGTTTTATCAGTGTCCCTATGTGCCTCAATGTGCTATTGATTTTCGGTTGTTTACTTACTGTAGAAAACATGGCTTTGAGTTATAGGAATCTCTCAGCAGTGTCCTTAAAACGCTAGTGCTCGGATTACCTAGTGTTCAACACTCTTTTTGGTAATGACTGTTGTGCCTGATTTCCTCTTTGGTGCTCTGCCCCCAGAGTGACGGTCAGTTTCCAGCGCTCCCTGGGGTTCTTACGTGGCCCCTGGCGGTACCTTCCCGCGGCATTCTCACAAGTGATGGAGTCACAGAGTCTTTGCTTCTGTAAGGAGATGATCGGCAAATGTGCTGTCAGTCCCTTGACAAGGCTCCAGAAGAAAGTCTGTTCTGGACTTTTTACACAAACTTTCTCCTGCCAGAAATAATGGTGGTGACTCTCAGCTTTTTGTGTGGGTGTGGGTGGGTGGGGGCGTATTCCTTGCGGCTTGTGGGATCTTCAAGGTTCACCAACCAGCGACAGAACTTAAGCTCTTGGTAATGAAAGTGTGGAGTTCTAATGACTGGGCCGCCAGGGAATTCTCTTCAACTTTCTTAAGAGACCGATGAGCCTGAGTGTCTTCGGGGCCTTCCCACTGGCTCTCTGAGACTAGACCCTGCATTCTACTCTGGTCTCTGGGGAATCCATTTGGCGATTGCTTTCTCCCCCGAGATTCTGTTTAAGAAGAAAAACTGACTCTCTCTTTCTAACCTGATTCCCCCACAGCTTAAGGAGCTATCTGTTTATCTCAGGAGAATTAAAGTAGACTGGATTTGGGAAAACAAAAGAAACTGCAGCCTCCCATTAAAAAACCTTATATATATGAGACAAAGGATGTTAACAAAACAAATTGTAGTAATCATTTCACAACAGATGTAAGTTAAGCCATCATGTTGTTCATCTTCAACTCATAAATGCTGCATATCAATTATATCTCAATAAAACTGTAAATATTTTCCAAATTTATATATATATATATATATATCTCCATTTGCACAGAGTGGTTTGATTAGTGACTATAATAACCTAATTCAATACCCATATATATAAACTTTAGTATATAAAATATTTGCTCAAAATATATCTTCTAAATCCAAACTTAGGGCCTCATAGAGGTAATGAAAATATTTTTGTCATAGTTGAACTTTATTTTAATTATATTTAGGAAAGTCATCTTAGATTAAAATAAAATAAAATAGCTAGGCTTCAGAAATAACCAGAAGATTGGAAATCTCAGTCATGACTTATGAAATACAGAGTAAGCTCTGTATTCAGGAGAGACTGGGGTCAATTTCTTCATGGTACTTCAGGAAAGCACTTGGGAAAATTACTTATATACTGTATACCAGTTTGTAGAGCTTTAATGTGGCATTTTGGAGAAAGCAGTGGCACCCCACTCCAGTACTCTTGTCTGGGAAATCCCATGGATGGAGGAGCCTGGTAGGCTGTGGGTCATGGGGTCCGAAGAGTTGGACACGACTGAGCGACTTCACTTTCACTTTTCACTTTCATGCATTGGAGAAGGAAATGGCAACCCACTCCAGTGTTCCTGCCTGGAGAATCCCAGGGACGGGGGAGCCTGGTGGGCTGATTTCTATGGGGTCACACAGAGTTGGACATGACTAAAGTGACTTAGCAGCAAGCAGCAGCAGCAATGTGGCATTTAAAATATTTCACAGGGTTATCATATATTTTAAAATAAAGGATGCAAATGCTTAGGGGTATCTGCAGATTTTACTGCTTAATGTAACTATTGCTTGTGCTATCAGTACTATTATAATTTGATCATAACTTGAAAGTTTAAAAGACATAGCAATAGATTTCCAACTTTATACTCTATGTATTGATACAAACTGTCACTGATTGTGTTGGTATGATAAAAAATAATACACCAATTAAGCAAGAATTGCAAATATTTTCTCATGTATGAATGGTTTTTCCTTGAGATCAGGATGTTACTTACACTAACAACTTCAAATATTTGTTTTAATAAATACTAGAACAGTTAGCAGAAATGTTCTTAAAAACTTTAGGCCATAGGAAATTATTAAAATATTTGGAATTTCTTCAAATTTCTTCACATCCCCCAAAATATCTAAATATTAGTCTTCAAACTATTATTTTTAGATCTTCAAAAATATATTAACTTACAAAATATAAAAATGATTTAGCTTACCCATATCTGACATTTCAGGCACAGTTACAATATATGGTCCATCTGTGAACTTTGGAGCATTGTCATTGATGTCTTGCACTTTGATGATAAACTCGGATTCAGGCTCAAGGGGCTTGTTCGTTCGTCTGTCAATAGCCTGAGCATGAAGTACATAGTGGGTCTTCTGCTCCCTGTCTAGGCTTTTTGTTGAGTGGATGTCACCCGTGGTATCATCAATGATAAAAATAGTCCCAGCACCTTCTCCAGTAAGGATGTACTTGACAGACCCATCACCTTTGTCAGAATTGGAGTGCAGCTGTAGACAAAGATGGAAAATTTTAATATAATATTATATCCAACCTCACATGGTATTCTCTGAAAATTGCCATCTATAATTTAATACTTATTTTGGTTATGACATTTTTCTTCCCTCCAATGTACCAGGTATTGCTAAAATCATGTTTACCTGCAGTTTTTCTCTACTTGGTATAAACAGGGACATTTTATTATGTTCTAAAAGATTTAATTATTGAAGAAATATTAGTAAGCAATACTTATTAAAAGAATAACCCTTGCTGTCATTCTACTAAATCAATGTTTTTCTACCTATATAGAATAGAATTGTAAAAGAAACTACCAGTAAATCACAGTTGTCTTCCATATTTCCACAGGGAATTAAAAAAAAAAAAAGAATTAACTGCTTGGCCATTATATTTCAATATTAAAATTAAAAAATACTACAGTAAAAGTTGAGATTCAAATTATTTATTAAAATTTCCACAAAATGGACACTTATTTATCACAGAAACATTAATTTTATACTTTGGAAAAACAAATATCTTCCAGATTGTTAAACTAGAAAACAAACAAACAAACTTGTGATGGAAAGTTTTCTTTCTTGAAAAATTAATGAAACTTTACACTCAAAATTTAAATGGCAGTGATAGATTTAATCAGTAAGTAGGCCCTGATTTTTAATTGAGATACACTAAGAAATCTCATTTATAAAACTAAAATGATTGAACTGTCTTTGAATAGACATTAGAGGGGTAATATTTCAGCAGACATCTTCAATAAGAAAGATAAATAATGTACATTAAGGCAATTAAAAATCTTCTTATCATTTAAATATTAGTAAATGCTTTTAAACTGCATATAATTCACACAATGTCTAGATGTAACATAACATCAAAGTTCAGTTAATATTTCTATGAATAGCATTGCTATATTTCTAGCTAAGAACATCCACAGTATTTTCTTAAATCTCAAACACATACTTGAAAAATTGTTTCTCCCAAGAGTTCTGAACAGTTATCCTTCACATGAAACCTTTTTGGTCACACAACCTCAACTACTCACCTTTTGCACATTTTTGACACTCTGAAACACTGAAAATATATAACCTTGTTCACATAGCATTTTGGTCTCTAGCCAAAGTAAAAGTTTTCAAGGTTTATGTTAAAGTCTCTGAACTCTTAGAAGACATTTTTAAAGATAAAATAGAGAAAAAAGATAATAAAAGGAAAGGACTACTTCAATGGGAAAATGAAGGGATCTGAAACATAAATAACAGTACATCAGGAAAAATTGTACTTATTTCTTGAAAATACATAAGTCATAAGGATAAAATTTTGATAGGCATCACTCAGCTAGATTCAACAAATTAAATCATTTCCAAACTGATTTTTTGGAGTTTTTCTAAAAAGGAGTAAAACTACACTAGCAGAATATGAAAAACACAGCTTTCAAAGATTCACACTTCATTAGTAAATTAACTACTAAAAGAAGCAGTAGAATGAGTTGTGTGGAGACAGTTGTATGTATGCATGAAAATGAATTTATTCATTTATTTATGTCTCTTTACATCATTTTAGCACCTACAAGAAGAGATTTCTCATTTATGCATCAGATGTCTACAAAATATCGATTGACCAGTCTGTTTCATATCCTCCAATTTTGCATCTATCCATGACCAAAACAGCAAAATAAAGGACCAAATTCACTGAACAAATGCTTCTAAAACTTTTCTGGAACATGCATGTTATTAAAATAACAAAAGGCAAAGTCATTTTAATAGTTATTGCTATATTGTGTATGAATTATAAATCTATATATAATAAATGTGACTAATTAAAAACACTGACAGAAAGGGTTAAACCTTCTAACAACTAACTATTGAAAGATATGACAATGGTGAAAATTGACTCTTGAGGATATTACCACATACTATTATATTTTTAGAGTGGTTAATTTGAAATTATTTAGTTTTGGATGAAAGGTTCACACTACAGTTAACTATATGTATTTTTTGGAAAGGCATATGGACATAGACCAGCAACAGAAGTATGTAAAAGAAGTAGTAAAGTTGTCAATCTAAAGCATCTGTTAAAAATTTATATGCTCTATGCTTTATATGGATTATGATAAATAATTCAATTAAAGATAAATGCCAGCAAATTTATGGCTTTAGATTTTAACACTTGAATCTGACTCCACATTTATAAAGTTTTGAGAATTAATATAGCACTTAGAATAAATGTTTCAGAAGTTATGTCTAACTAGATAGTGAATGTGCAGTGTGTGCTAAGTTGTTGTAGTCCTGACTTATTCCTTGGGATCCTATGGACTGTAATTCACCAGGCTCCTCTGTCCATGGGATTCTCCAGGCAAGAAAACTGGAGTGGGATGCCATACCCTTCTCTAGGGGATGTTAATGACCCAGGGATAAAACTTGCATCTCTTAGTCTCCTGCACTGGCAGGTGAGTTCTTGACCACTAGTGCCACCTAGGTAGCCCCCACAATGTGCAGTATCAGTGAATTATAACTTCAGTTCAGTTCAGTCACTCAGTCACGTCTGACTCTTTGTAACCCCATGGATTGCCGCACGCCAGGCTTCCCTGTCCATCACCAACTCCCGGAACTTCCTCAAACTCATGTCCGTTGAGTTGGTGATGCCATCCAACCATCTCATCCTCTGTCGTCCCCTTCTCCACTCGCCTTCAAACTTTCCCAGCATCAGGGTCTTTTCCAAGGAATCAGTTCTTGGCATCAGGTGGCCAAAGTATTGGAGTTTCAGCTTCAGCATCAGTCTTTCCAAAGAATATTCAGGATTGATTTCCTTACTTTGAAGTATTGATATTGTACAACACAGTCAAAGGTACAATGAAATACTATAATAATGCATTTAGATTACATAAGTTGTTGATAATATTTAGCTTGAGTGTTTTAGTTTTTTTTAATTATTTTTTTTGAGTATAGTTGATTTACAATGCCATGTTAGTTTCAGTTCCATACCCAAGGGAATCAGTTATGTGTATATATATATATACATGTATATGTATATGTACATATATAGCCCCCTTTTTTTACATTCTATTCACATCTAGGCCATTACAGATTATTGAGTAGAGTTCCCTGTGCTATACAGTAGGTTCTTCCTAGTTATCTATTTTATATATAGTAGTGTATGTCGATTCCACTCTCCTAATTTATCCCTCCCCTGTTTATTCCCTGGAAAACGTAAATTTGCTTTCTATATCTGTAACTCTATTTCTGCTTTGTAAATAGATCTAGCTTGAGTGTTTTACTAATGGAGATGACCATTTATTCAATGGATTTTTAAGATTTCTCATCTGGCCTTAAAATGATACTTTCCATGTAACACTAATGGAAACCCATCACAGTAGCAGTAGGTCAATCAATAAATACTTTACAAGACTATGATGAGAATTATTTGTGAAACAACAAAGTGATCCACCCTCAAGATTGCCTTTTCTCTATTCAACCTGTTCTTAAAAATTTGTTTTTGTTGACAACATACACTCCAACAGATAGTAGAGGAAACACTAACAAGTAGGTTTTAAGATTCTGGAAGAACACAGGTTTTATATTAGGTTCTATAAGGCAAAAAGTGATGAATGAGTGAATGAATGAATATTTTGAATAAAATGGATGAAGGGTAATGAGTGTAAAGAGGTAGAAATCTTAAGACATGGAGAGAAAGCTCTTAGATACAGATGATCAGGTTACCCAGATAATCAGAATAGAAATGTGTTATCTTTTAGGGTGGGCAGCAGTGAGACATCAAATGAAAGGAGCAGGGAAAAGAGTCATAAAATAGGAATGCTCTGGATGCTTCACTTGTGGCTCAGATGGTAAAGAATCTGCCTGCAGTGCAGGAGGCCTGAGTTTGATCCCTGGGTTGGGAAGATCCCCTGGGGAAGGCAATTGGAACCCACTCTAGCATTCTTAGCTGGAAAATTCCATGGACAGGGGACCCTGGCAGGCTACAGTCCATGGGATCATAAAGAATTTTATATGACTGAACAACTACAACTTTTTTTGAAATATTACATTGTAAGTTTAGCTAGCTACTGCATTGAGAGATTTCCATCTTTTTTCCATTATGATATTTTTTAAAAATTGGAAAATAAAGTTGATTTTAGTCACACATAGTTCAGTAATCATACAAAGAGAATAGTAGAAGGGTCTTACATTACCCATAGTGATAGGAATATACTTATAGAATCATGAGATTTTGCAAAGTGAGTGATATCTTTATGCTAAAAGAGAGCTATTATACTGTCCTAAAGCAAGAATAAAATATCCTTGTGTATCTGATCACATAGTTACATAGAGTTAATCAGTTGTTCTTTAAAGAACAGAAAAAGGAGGAGAAGGAAGAAAGAAAAGAAAACACAATTATCCAAGTGAAGCAAAATGAACTCTTCTCTTGTATTCCTTTAATAAATTGTCTCTACCTTGGTGTTAAGGAGTAACCTTAAGTACTTAAAAAGCTAACATGACTCACATGAATTTCTCTTAGAAAACTATTTATTCACCCTGGACCACATTTGATTGGGACCTAAAAATTTATAACTTTCTTTCTAATGCAGAATTCCTCACTGAGGTAATATTTTATCCTTTGGGGAAAAATAACTTTAAAAGGTTAAGAAGATAGTGTCAGAGCAATTAATTTTGAAAGTGGCTTCTAGTTAGGACTTTAAACTATGTTATAAAGATAGTCCACTGACTTAAAATGTGATATTTTGGACTATATAATTTATGCATTTTTATGAATAGGAAGTTTGTATTTATAATGTTTTGGTAGAAATCAGAAAGAGTCAGACATATTATACAGTGATTTTATTATAATCATTTTTCCAACACATAAAATACAGGTGATATAATGTTAGAGCTGTGTGAGGATCATAGCAAAGATATGTCATTAAAACTTACTAAGAATCTCTCATTTCAGGAGATGTTATATTGTAAACCATAAGCAGATAAAACAAAAATCAATTGAACCCTTAATA